CGGAGTCGCCTGAGCACGTCATGTTCCAGTGGTTTCAGCAGCTCGACCCCGCCCTGGCCATGCTGTTCAACCAGCTGCTCTCTGCCAAGGCGACGGTCGAGAGCAGGATGGCAGCACAGCGTGCCTCCAGCGCGCCGCCGCCCTCGACGCTCACGCTGGCAGAGACGCGCGCCGCTGTTGCTCAGCCAGTGCAGTCAGTTGCCCGTGTTAGTGACGAAGGCATGGACGGAACAGATGAGGATGACCTGTCCGATGACACCGGGGCCGACACCGTGCGCAAGACCGCCGCCGTGGAGCACGGCATGCTCTCGTCCCTGGCCAGCGCCACCATGAACCAGTCCATCGCCACTGCCAATGGAGTCGAGGTCGAGCAGATCCAGGAAGTGCTCGGCGATGTGCTTGGCACCGCAGGCCAGGCGCTCCGCCGAGCCAGGCGAGCCACCTCAGCTGCCCCCGAGGGCCGCCACCGTGACGGCTCGCGCTCGCCACGCAGGGAGGCGTCCTCCCCCTGGCCGTCGTGGTCATCACGTGCCAGGACACGCTGATCAGGGCGTGAGAGGACTCTCCGTCACCACTAAGTCTCGAGATTGGGTTATGTGCACTACCAACATAACCGAATATTCCAGCCTCGAGAAAATGTTGGGTGGTTCCTCTGGTTTTGGCGTGCAGGAGGACCACCATATTTTGGACCCTGACTATGCTGGAGCTTCGTTGCGCCGTGACGGGTGGCCAGCTAAGTTTTTGTCTGCGGCTCCCACGGAGCAAGGGGGTACGTCGGCGGGGCTGCTTACCATGTTTCCGAAACGTATCGGGACTGCGTTATTGGAGGCCGCCTGCTTCGACATCTATCCTGGACGCTGTTCGGTTCTCCATGTCGGGTGGATTTCCATTGGCTAACTGATATCTAAAAGATTGCGGCAATCTTGCAGATATCATTGGAATATGCTCTCTCGGCTGGGATCCGTGCTGAAGGCTGCGCACATCCCCTTCGTGATTGCAGGCGATTGGCAGGTGGATTCAAAGCAGCTTGAGGCCTCAGGCTCGACGCGCGCATTAAACGCTCAGATTATTGCGCCCTCGACGGGAACGTGCACCCCGCAAGGCGCATCATTGACTTCTTCGTCGTCTCCTCTGACCTCGTTGGCAGATATTCCATCAGCATTTTAGATGACATCTCGGCCTCTCCTCACTCACCAGTGCTGTTGCGACTGGCTGTTGCCGCTAGTGACGTGCAAGCTCGCATGATACCGGTGCCGCGCAAGTTCCCAGTCGCTTGGCCCATTGGATGCGTCTCGGAACCAGTGCCCATTCCCTGGGAAGACGCCGCCGGCATCGTCGGCGCCACTGACTCGAGCGATGCCAAGTGGGACGCCTTTGTTGCCACGGCAGAGTTAGAGTGGGTTCGACTTTTCCAGCTAGCACCTGAAGAGGCTGACAATTATTGTAGCAAGGTTATGCCGATCAAACCTCGTTATCAAGCCGCTCGTCGACCTGGGCCAGTTCGCTTTCCCAGGCTTTCGGTGCTCGCGGTTTGGCGGAAGCAGGTTTCGCTCGCATTGGGGGGCCTCGTCAGGGTCCAGGACAACATCGCGGGAAAGCAGCGAGCTTGGACCCCTAGTGTCAGCAGGCTCTTCAAGCCCTCCCAGTTCCATGTGGTGCCTCACGAGGACCCTTATAGCTCCTGGACCTACATCCTGGCTAACATCACCCAGATCCCCAGTGACTTAGTTCAGATGCTACATTCTTGGGCTGACAAGGCCGCTCATGAACAACATCGACAGTCCGCCAGGCACAAAGAACAACAATGGTGAGCATGGATCAACACTCGTTCTGTCAACGGTGCCTCCGCCCTCCACCCCTTCTCCGCGCTCCCGATTGGCCGGCAGCCCAGCAATATGAATCACTGTACGTTGCGGCCCGCCAACTCGCAGGAGGAAGTAGATATGCTTCAGCAGGGGTGGGAGGGATGGTGGAAGGCGCACTCAGAATGGCAGTCCCTCGTTTGGCCTGAGTCCCTGGGAGAGCGACTCGACTCCCCCACGGTTCGGGAACTCAGGGCTGTCATTCGCACCTTCCCCATCAAAACTGGTTCAGGCTCTGATCGGGCCAGTCCCAGGAACTTCCCTCCTGCGCCCAGATGTGGCGCTGGCGATCCTGTGCGACATCATTGCGCGCGTCGAGCGGCATTTCGTCTGGCCGCGAATGTGCAGCATACTAGCTTTCATTATGAAGCGAGCCGGTGGAGTGCGACCTCCCGGGCTGCTTCATGTCCTTTGCCAGCGCGGCGCCGTCTGCGCGGGCCGATGATAGGAGCTTGGCAACGGCGCAACTTCAAGCATTTTTGGTGGTCGGCCAAGGGGCTCTCAGCGGAGAAGCGTGTATGGATTGTTGAGCGCTTGGTCAGAATACTGCACTAGCCAAGGGCATTGTTCTGGAACTGTCCTCTTGGGCCTTAAAAAAAAAGCCTTGGGATGTGTGCAGCGTGGCCATCTCATCCAGGCGACCATATATTCACACTTCCCCCTCTGGCAGCTCCGTCTCCTGATCGACGTTTACAGGGCGCCGAGAGCGCTTGACCTCCAAGGGGCGTGCAGCGAATCCATCGATGTGCAGCAGACCGTGGTTCCAGGTTGCACGTTCGCGTCTTTGATGTTGCAGTTGCTACTTCTGGGGCCCCTTGGCCGATTTCAGGCTGCACGCCGCTCGGTCGTTCTAGCCGTCAATGTGGATGATTCCCCCCTGCAGCGCTTCGGCGGCGAGGGGCGCGCGGGGCGCGAGCTCGAACAGTCTGCCGAGTGCCTAGTCTCATAGCTTACCAAAGTGGACATGCAGCTCGCTGTAGACAAGGGTCGTGTGCTCAGCAACTCGCGGCAACTTAGGCACAGACTCGCTCGAAACCTTGGGCGCCTGGGGATGTAGGCCGCGGGGGCCGAGCGAAATCTTGGCGTTGATTTTGCTGCCGGCAAAGTGCAACTTCAGCGCGCCACCGCTGCAAGACACATAGCCATCAAGAAGAGGCGTTGCCGCATGTCCGCTTTAAAATCAGGACGGCTAAGGGGAAAGCTTCTTGGACAGATGAGTCGAGCGGCGCTCGAGGACGCCATCTCCTTCGGCACGGCCGTCACAGGAGTCAACGAGAAGGAGCTTCGCACGCGTCGCAGTCTCGCTGGCAAGTTGCAGGATCATAGGCAAGCTGGAAAGAGCATCACTCTGTCTCTCATATTGGCGCCCAACAAGGACCTCGACCCCATCATGAGAGCCGCTTGGTTGTCCGTCAAGTTCTTCCTGCTATGCCTACACCAGAATTGGATGCCCCCCACAGGTTCTCGATAAGAGCCTCCAGCAGGTTGATGCCCACCTCAGCCTCCTCAAGTACCCCTGGGGATCCATAGCTGGGCCTTTTACGACTCTCTGGGTCTCTACGGCGTGTGGGTATTCGGGCACGTTCGCTGGTATCTTGGAGCTTTCCTGAAGATCGTGTTCTGAACATTTCTGAGGCCTGCCCGTTCGTAGTTAAGCAGCATGTGATGCGAGCGGTTTACCTGTGGCAGTGCGCGAAGATAGCCGAACATGTTAACGCACCCGAGTTTCGCACCGGTGTGCTCCTCGCTCCTACCCTCTCCTTTTTGCGCTCCAAAGCTTTACCTCAGCAGCGCGCGTATGTCAGATCGTGTGTCATTGGAGCTCAGTGGCCAATGGCGAGGCAGTGGAAAGCTGGTTACCCCGTTGAGCCCAATTGTCTTGCCTGCCTCGCCACTGGTGTCAGGAAAGTCGGAACTCTTTTACATCGGCACTGTGCTTGCCCTGAGCACGCTCTCAAGCTTGAGAAGCCGCATGTACTTTGTTCGTCTCTCTGCGAAGCCGCTCGAGATGGAGGTCTCCAACTGTTGCTCGCCGAGAGATGTTTGCTACCCATGTCCCTCTTGGAGCGTCCGAGCCTGCCTGACCTCCCCTCCATGCTTTGGGTCCACGGGCCCCCTGATCGGCTCACGGGAGACGTTTTCCTGGATGGCTCGATTTTGGAAGGTGGCATGGGACCCTTTGCTGCTGGAGGTTGGGCGGTCGCTTCTTTGACCAGAGGAGCCCGAACATTGCGTGAGGTCCAAGCGTTGATTTGTGGACCATTGTGTTCGGAGTTCCCCACCATCAGTGAAGCTGAGGTGCGCGCATTGATTGAATGTCTCAAGCACGCTTGCCCACTCGTTGTGGTTCACACAGACTCCAAGTATGAATATGATGGAGTGATCTCGAGAGGACGCCTGCTCACAACGCAGGTCCTCGATTCACACACCTCTCTCTGGCGCGAGGTGTGGGACAGGCTCGATGATTGGGGTTTTGACAGTGCGGTTTCGTCGTCGGTTCGGTTTGCCAAAGTCCTTGCCCACAGCACTCGCGCCGATGTCTCAACGAGGCGAGTTTCGCTCAGAGTCAATTTCGGCAACGACACGGCCGACCAGTACGCCCGATGGGCGGCCCAGGCCTTCCGAGTGCCGCCGCCTGCTGCCGCTGCCGTCGCCGCCAGAGTTAAGTTTTGAAGTCCTGGGTGAAGTGGGTGGGGCGTGTAGGGGACGACCTCCCTGACTCCTCTCACCCTCCCTCCCTCCAGCGGGGTAAGCCCCCCGCCCTGAGGCTTGACCTCGTCCAGGAGCCCCTTCCCCAGGACATCGTTTCCTGTGCTGTGCGTGCGTCCGAGGCCCTTAGAGACCGAGGTGAGACGCCCCACGCACTTGTAAAGTTCGTTCTCCAGGAGAGCGTCATTTTGATCGGATGTTTTCGTTGCGGTGTCCTCTCGTCTTCTCGGCTTGCATCCCTTGCCTCGGCCTGTTCAGGGAATCTCCCAATTTGGGCCAGGAAGCTGTGGGCGAGGCTCCGCCGTAGCGAATACAGGCACACCGCCTCAGGCAGTGCCCGTACCCTCCGAGTGCTGGCCACTGTGCCCGTGCTGAACTCGTTTGGCTTTCGCCCGAGTCCTGGAGGAATGCAGTAGCAAGGTCCTCCTCCTAGCCCTGGAAGGCGGTGCTGGCCCTTGTGGCTCCGTCGTTCAGGTGCTGGGGGGAGGCGCTTTGCTGTTGGGTGCCTCCCCGTTTCGGTTGCCCGTCGGAGACTCTTCGGCGCGCAATGTCTTGCGCAGGAGGAGGAGGAGGAGGAGGAGGAGGAGGAGGAGGAGGAGGAGGAGGAGGAGGAGGAGGAGGAGGAGGGGGAGGGAGGAGGCGGAGGAGGAGGAGGAGGAGGAGGAGGAGGAGGAGGAGGAGGAGGAGGAGGAGGAGGAGGGGAGGGCCAGGCGCCGGCGCGCTCTCGCCGCGCCCGGCAGCCAGTGCTGCGCCGCGATGGAGGGGGAGAGAGGGAACGAGAAGCAAGCTGACCCAGAGATCCAAAGTATCGAAAGATACTCCAGATTTCGCAATAAAGGGAGGGGGGTCTCATTTCGGGGGGGGGGGGGTCTCTTCCAGGCTATCTTGGGGGGCCTGGGGGTCTGGGGACGATGTTTTGGAGGGTCCTCCCACGGGGGGGGGGTCTGAAATGGCTTGTCTTGGAGGGTCCAGACCCCCTCCCTTTTATTACGAAATCTGGAGTAGGGGGCCACAGGCCCCCCGAAAAAAGCAGAATGGGTCGAAGGTGTTTCGCTCTAGTGCAGGCCTCCGGCGGCCCTCGGCGGGCCCCTGGGGCCGTCAGGAAACGACTCGAGGGTGGAACGCCGGCGCTGGGGAGAGGGTCGGGACTTCCAGAGACCCGGTTGGAAAAATCACGAGGTCGGGCCTGTGGGGACGAAGGGCCTGCGGGACGAAGCCGGCGGGCCGGCGGGAAGGGCCAGAGGGGAGACAGCAGGCCAGGCGCAGGGGAAGAGGAGGGGGGGGCAGCGGGCAGGAGGTGCAGGCCTCCAGAGATCGGTGATCCACTGACCTGGGTCCAATGTAAGCCTGGGCCGGTCAGGCTGCGCAGGATCCTGGAGGATCCTGCAGGATTCTGCGCGCCAGCCGCAGGGATCCTCGCCGGATCGTGACGGATCCCTGCAGGACCCTGCAGGGAGATCCTGCGCGCGTGCCTCAGCAGTTCTGGGGTGGCCAAGAATCCCGGGGGGGCCCTCGGAGTCCTGGGGAGGGGGCCCTCGTAGTCCAGAGGGGGTCCCTGTAGTCTGGGGGAGGAGCCCTGGTACTCGGGGAGGGGGGAGCCCTCGTAGTCCGGGGGGGGGTTCTTGTACACCGGGAGGGGGCCTTAGGCAGTCAGGGGGTTGGAAGCCTCGGCCCCGCGCACGGCTGACCGCGCGCATGCGGCGCCGCGCAGGGCTTACCGCGCGCACTGTCTCGTCGGCCTGCGCGCGCGCGAGGATTTCGCTGGCAGCTCGCGCGCTCGTGCGCGTGCAGGGAGCACTTCTCCAGGGCAAGTGGCGCCTACCTCCACCGTGTCTCCATCATGGCAAATTCTCGCTGTCAGGGTGCCTGTAGTCCAGGGTGGGCCCCTGTAGTCCAGGGAGGAATGATTGTAGTCCGGGGGGGGGGGCGCTGCAATCCGGGGGGCCCACGTAATCCGGAGGAGGAGCCCTTGTAGTCCGGGGGCCCCTAGGGCAGCCCGAGGCAATGGAAGCCTGGCTTTGCAGGATGCTGCAGGATGCGGCGCTCTGGCTGGCCCCCGTTTGCACTGTTCCCCGTCTCGAGGCTCCCGAACTAGGCTCGGGGACATCGATCCTGGGCTTTCTCAGCGTTGCCAACCTCTGGGCGCCCGATTGCGGGTCCACGGCGCCGTCGGCAAGCAGCGCTGAGGGCAAGAAGCCGGGGCGGGAGGGGCGGAGGGGGGGGGGGGGGGGCAGGGGCAGAAGGGGAAGGAGAGAGGCGCGGAGGATCCAGAGAGGCGGGGGATGGATGGGGTTCAGAACAGAAGGGGGCGGGCGGAGGAGAGGGAGGAAAGTGGGGACGTGAGCGAGAGAGATATGGGAGGAGAAATGCCAAGCGTTGAGGGGGAGGGATTGAAGAAGAGAGGAGGGAGAAGGAGGGAAGTGGAGGAAGAGAAGGAGGAGGAGGAGGAGGAGGACCAGTGCAACCCCAGACTAATCAACGATATGGCGACAAACCCTACCTCTAAGGTCTCTCTTCACAGGTCCCTACGAGAACACATTTTCACTGAGGGATGTGTCCCGTTGGGATACAGCCCATAGCATATCCTGAACAGCGCCGGAGCACCCTTCCTGGGAAGTCAGCGCTGCGAATCAACATCATTGTTGCACCCTGACGATGCTGACCTGAGACTTCAAGCCCGCCCATTAACGTGACTGTTGGGCCCCGACAGTCGTACATCGTGCCAAATACGATGTATGGGAAGTCAACCATTAGAGCCCTTGAAACGGTTTAAAGCTCTTCAGACGAAATGTGCACGGCGCTCAGGCGAGAGCCACATATGCAAAAGGAGCACCCCTCCATCCGTGAAGCTGCTGCAGGCTTTTGCGACGAATGTGCGCGCAGTTCAGGCGAAGGACTCATTCTGACAAGGAACCGCCGGGCATTCGGTGAACCTCTTGCTACCTCTCAAGACGAATGCGCGCGGCGCTAATGCGAGAGCCACATGCTGAAAATGAGAGCCACCCTCCTCGCGTGAAGCTGCTGCAAACTTGTAAAACGAATACGCACGGCCCTGAGGCCATAATCACACTTTGAAAACCACCCGCATTCCATCAGTGAAACTCTTGCGAACTTTTGAACCGAATGTGCGCGGTGCTGACGCGAGAACCACGTCTCGAAAACGACCTGCCCTCCATCCGTGAAGGTGTTGCAAATACAAGCTGAAGGTTGGTCAATAGTGAGGACGTCTCAATCTCGTCTTCCCTCACTCCTCGTCCTCCCGTCTGCACATTCGTCCCCTCCTCCTACCCCGTCCCTCCTCGCTCCCCTACCTCCTTACTCACCCTTACTCCGTCACTCCTCCTACGTCCTCCCCTCTCCCTCCCCCAGCCGTCCTCCCTCTTTCTGCTCTGTCCCCCTCCGCCTGCTCCTCTGACTCCTGTGGCTCCTCCGCCCCCAAACCCTGCCCCTGCCCCCGCCCACGTCCACCTCCGCAACCGCTATCTACCACCACCACCACCACCCACCACCACCAATACTTGTCCTCTTCAGCATACGCGTTATTCTCACGCTCTTCCTCCATTTTCCTGCTCTCTACCCGCTCCCCCTTCTCCTCAAATACTCGTAAGTTTCTTTCATCCTCTTCTTCTTCTTTTTGTTCCTCTCCTTCCTTTTCTTCTCCTCCTCCTCCTCCTCCTGCTGCCTCCTGTTCCTTCGCCTTCTCTTACCCTAAAGCCATCGAGGACCCCCCAAATCGTCCCGATCTCCGTAGATCCCCAGCCTGGGTCCCCTATCCGCCCCCATCCCACAACTGCCGAAAACATATTTAAACCTCCGATCCTCTCCCTCCTGCTCCCTCCCCCGCCATCCTCACCCCAACTCGACCGTCCCTCCTTCTCCTCGATCCCCGTCCTCCTCATCCTCCTCGCTCCGTCTCCTCCTCCCCCTCCTCCTCGTCTTTGTCATCCTGTTCTCGCTTGCTTCACCACTGCCCTCTGCCCTCGGCCCAGCCGAAAGGGGGATAGACGGAGCAAGACCAGCCGTCGCAGAGGGGAGGACGAGGGCGAGGAGGATGAGACAGAGTAGAGGAGGACTGGCAGGAGCAGGACAAAGGAAGATCATAGGGGAGGAGCAGGGGGGAATGGGAGCCTCAGGAGCAGGGGGGAATAGGAGCATCGACCAGAGATAGGGGAACGAAGAATGCTCTAAACATATAAAGCTCGGAGGTCCGCGCGGATTTCTCGGATCCCCGCTGGAAGCCCCTGGGCGGCGCCTCCGGCGCCGCCCCTGGCGCGCTGCGCGCGCCAGGGGAATGGGGTCCAGGGTCCAGCGCCGACCCGAGCACTCCGAGCGGACCTCCGAGTTTTTGTGTCTGTGCCATTCTTCGTTAGAGAGCAGAACATCCACCCCCATAAGAAGCACCCCGACAAGCGAAGCCGTTCAGTAAACGCACCCATGGAAGGAATCGAACAGGGCAGGGCTGTTTAGTAAACGCCCAGGGCTGTTTAGTAAACGCGAATTGTCGGGGTCGGGGTGGTTTTTCCACCCTTGATTCGTTCCCCTGGTATCAACTTTAGGTCGGGCCCGTCCCCCTCCAGGGGGATCTTGGGCGAAAAGCGAAACAGGTTCAACACATGCTCAAACACAGGCAGAACAACATATCATCACCAGACTATGTTCTGACTATCTGTGAGCATTCCCCCCTGTAGAGGGGCAGGCCCGACTTAATAGCATCAATCATAGAACCAATGGGGGAGCGAACGCCATATCAACGACACGCCGCCGAGGGGAACCCGTCAGCGTGTCACTGCTGCAGAAGCACCCGGCCGTCGGACAAAAAACGACGGCGCAACATGTCGAGGGCCTTCCAACGGCGGCGTCGCCTTGGCCATCCCTCCCGCCCGAGTCGCTGGCCCAGACGCCCGACGAGTGATTGGCTTCAGCCCTCGCCCCGGGCGATCTGGACCCCTTCCCTGGGCGTAGTCTGGCACCGCGCGCCCGTGTTGTGGATGGTCCTGGAGGCCGTCATGAAAGAACGTCGGCGCGGGTGGAAAAACATGATTCTGTCGCCGCGCCGCTGGTTCTTGGCGCGCCCAGCTGGCCCTCGCTCGGACGTCCCTTCCCTGTGCTTTTGTTCGGTTCCGCGCGTGGTTTTCTCGCCAAATGATCAAGGATGCGCCTCGATGGTCCTCGCCGAAGGAAAATCGGGGGCGGCAAAGAGGGAGGTGTCCAAGAGGGGGGGGTGCAAATCATGACCGGCGGCATGTGCGCGGCCCGACGGGGGGGCCAGGGACGTAATGAAACAAGAAGAGGCGCCGTGAAATCTGGGGAAGTATCATGGCCCACGCCATGAGATCCACCCCCCCCTAGTCATCACCCCCCTCTTTTCCGCCCCCGAGAAAAATGCACACGACCAAGCGATGCCAGGCGCCCAGGCGGGCGGCGCCAACCCCCCGCGGCAGACCCGCGCACCCCGCGCCCGAGGAGACGCCGAAGGCGCCGCGACCCCCCCCCCGCCAGGCAGGCCCACCGCGCCCGCGGCGGCGCTCGCCCGGGTGCTCGCGGCGCCCTCCCTGACCAGCCTGGAACACATCCCTATCCCTGTGCTTTGGGAGTCCCGAAACGGTGCGGTGACAGACCGTGCGGTGACCTCGAAATCCCCCAAGACCTCACCGCACGGTCCGTCAACGCACGGTTTTGGGACCCCGGGGGCCCCTCTCGCCCGAGACATCCTCGGAGAACGACCCGAGTCCCAAAACCGTGCGGCGACCCCGAATCCCCGCCGACTCACCGCACGGTGCGGTCACCACACCGTTTGGGGGCCTCCGAGGTGCTGGGCACCTCCTCCCCAGGATGCCGATCTTGGGGATTGCCTTATCTTTTGAGGGCGCATCCCTAAGACTGTCATCGCCTGTGGGCGTGTCAATCTCAGGGACAGGGGCACGGTCGAGGCTGGCAACTCCCCAAGACAGGGGGCCGCGCGTCGGAGCCACGTGGTCGTCGGAGGGCCGGAAGTGATGGTCGGACGGGCGGCTCCCGGGACCTGCCCTCGCATGCGGCTCCCGGGACCCCCTGCTCGAGGCGCGCGGTGTCAGGCGGCCTGTCTGGTGGGCCTCCCCTCGGCCGCTGCCGAGGCCAGGAGTCGGCGACTCCGGAAGGTGTGGCGTGCAAAGGGTGCGGCTTGCAACGGGCACCCTGGGTGGCATCCTGGGGGGCGGACGAGGACCTCGATAAAGTTCTCCGCCGCGCCCCGAGGCGGTCCGACGAGAACAGTGTCGTGTCCCCCAGGCCCCAACGGCGCCGATCGCAAACCACACCCTGGCGTAACCATACCATTCGTAGTCGCCGAAGGCAGTATACGTGCCCGCACATGTGGGCGAACATGGTCCAAATCTCGAAGACGGCCCGTCGGAGTCAACAGCGGCTCTCTCTATAACATGTTTTCTGCCCTCTGTGGGCCCTGCTGGAGGCTTCTGGTTGCCACGGCCAGATCCGCCTCGACAAGCTGGTCAGAACCGGCCCGCGGAGGGGTCAGGGATCCGATTTGAGCAGGCTTGGCCCAGGCGGGCGAACGGCCATTATCTCAATTGGCCTTCATCCGACCTCATCCGTCACCGTGGCGTAGGCACTGAGTGGAACGTCCTCAAGTACCTCCGAGTTCTCTGTGCTGAGTGTCCAGACATGCGATGCTTCGATTTCTTCAATGAAGTGAAGGCGTTGGATAAGGAACCATTGGGCAAGGAATCCAGGGTCTGAAAGCCAATGGGGCTCCAATCGTGGACTGGCCATGGATATCACCGCCGCCCTCATCAGATAAGGAAACCTCCAAGGTCTAAAGCCGCCTGGGAACAATCCTTAAACAACGCCCCCACCGTACGTAGTCCCCGAAGTCCCCGAAAATCCGACACATTCCCTAGGACCGGCTTTTTATCCTGAGATGTTTTTGACGACCACGGGGCCCCACGAGGGCCCCCCGAGGCCGAAAACGGCCGAAAGCCTTCGTCTTGACATTTGCACGACACGAGCAGGTCTGGGTAATTGTCGGTGCTCGCTCTTAAGCTTAGCTGCCCCAGTACGCAGCACGCAACCCGTGGCGTGTTGACATGGAGCTCAACACGGAGGTTGAACACGTACGTTTGGCGCGATAAGTTCGCCAAAATGCGACGCTGCGCCAACACGCAACGTGTTACCGCAGACGTTTTGACCACGGCCGCATGTTCAAAACGGGCGTATCAAGGCAACTATTCTCTGAAGCGTCTCAGACCTCGGACTCCGGGACTCGAGGTCGCGGCTGGGCGCCCCCAGGGATTACCGCGTGACGCTTCCGAGGCCTCGGGAGCGTGGCTGGGAGTCCACCTCCCCAACATGCATGAAGATTTTTTTTTGTTCGGCGACAACACGGCTTATACGATGGGGGGGAAGGGGGGGAGGAGGCTTTCGCTATGGGCAGCCACACGTCTGCCCGCGGGCACTGGCATCGCGCACTCCCTCTGGATTTGCGCAGCCGGCGGTTATCGGGGAGGTGGTGGGGGGAGACACCCCGGGGGATCGGCGGAGCCTAGAAAACGGTCTCATGGACACGTGAGATAAGAGATCTTGCGATAAGAGATCTTTCTTCGGTGGACAAACCTCCCTTTAGTAAACCTCCCCTTAGTGAAAGCGGCCTGGGAGCGAAACCGACGGACCTGGACCCGCAAAAATGACGGCCGCGACGCCCCCTCGCGAACCGAAAACAGCCAATTCCTTAATCGACGTGTCAGGGTGGGAGGTCTGTCCACCCCCGAATCTTGGGGCGCATTCCTCGTAGGTCTATGTCGGTCCTAGAAAGGTGCCCCAGAAACTCTGTTTTTTTTTCTCAGGGAACCCGCAAGGCGCCACATGTCTCCAGTCCGACCACCATTCACACGCAACCTCAGCCAGCCTGCCAGGCCCGAAGCGAAACTCTGGGCACGCACAGTGAGGGAAAAACGTCTTATTCAAACCCACATAAGACGAAAGGGTATTGGCGCCGTGTGGGCAACTGGGTCCCTGTGGCCATCTGGGGAATGACATCTCCATGGGGCACAGGCTGCAACCTAAGCTCTCGGAGCTCCGCGCGGAATTCCTTGGATCGGCGCCAGACCCCCCCCCCCCCCTTGGCGCGCGGAGCGCGCCAAGGGGAGGGGGTGATGGAGGCGCCGCCAAGGGGCCCCAGACGCCGAGCCGGGGACTCCGCGCAGACCTCCAGAATCCTATGATCATGCACGTTCTCTTCGTCGTCGATCGCCGCTGGCAGGCCGCTTTCGGGGATGGACAGACCTCCCTTTAGTAAAACGTGGTTTAGTGAAAACGACCTGAGGCTCAAACCTGGCGGGCGCAAGCCTGGAAAATAACGGCCGCGGCGCCCTCTCGAGAACCGAAAACGGACAATTCACTAATCGACGTGTCACTGTTGGGGGTTCTGCCCACCCCCGACGCTTTCTCATGTATAGCGTGCCCCCTGTATAGGATGGCCGCCAGGACCCGTCCCGTCCGTCCCGGTTCGGCTCCGCTGAACCGGCACGGCGAGCAGCGTGGCCGCGCCCGCGGCGCGGCCGCGCGCCCCCCGGCGCCTCTTGGGCCACCTCGGCCCTGGGGGCGGGCCCCACCGAGTGGCACGCGGCCCTGGCTCTTTGAAGGGGCCCCAGGACGCACAAAGAAATGCACACCAATAACATCATTCCCCATATTTTCCCATACCTTCTGGGTTTCTGTCTTCCCCCCCACTGCCCATATTGTCCCATATTTCCTGGGGAATCGACGATTCATTGTGTCTGTGTTTATTTTTTTTTTTTTCTCTCCTGGCTCTTGCACGACAAGTCTGCGAGGCGGCTGGGGCGAGGGCCAACGGGCCCCGAGATCTGGGCGCTGCGTTTTTTTCGCGCCGAGCGGCTTCGCCCGATCTCGGGCCCTCTGGGACGATCCCAGGTCGATCTGGTGCGGGAAATGCAGCGCAAAGATGTTGTCGAGGGCTCCCGTCGTGATTTTTCGCGATGCTGGTTTGATCTTGCTGCCTTCACAAAGTAGAGTGTCAGGGAAGAGATGGGGTGACAAACGACGATCACTAAAGAGCTCTGGGGACAGGGTGAGGGGGCTGCGGCCAGGCGTTGGCTGGGGGAGGGATGACGAACGACGACAACCACAAAATAAAGGGCTCCAGGGACAGGGGGAGGAGCCTGGTGCCAGGGACAGGCTGGGGGAGGGGTGACGAACGACGGCCACCCACGAAAAATCGCCGGTCCAACGGGCAAGAGCCGTGCTGAAATCTCCGGAAACAGATTTATGATATTTCAATTCGCGGCGCGCATGGGGCCTAGGGGCCCGTCCCTGGTACCCCGACCACTGCGCGCACGACTCACGCACGACTCGGGTCAGAGATGGTTTTGCTCCTGGGCGCAGCCTTTTACCCCTCAGAACGCTCGAGGATCGCTCCAAGCGACCTTCAAGAGAGCCCAGAATGGTCTGAAACGGCCCAAGAGCGCTCAAAGACGCCCAACATAATCTCTGGATGGCCCGAGACGTCTCCGAAACACCTCTTGGGGCATAGTTGAGTTATAATCCTGAGTTTTTGAACGATTTCCACGTTATCGCCATTTCGCGCTTCCGACCCTCAAGATGCCCCAAGGGCCCCCCCAAGGGGGCTCCAGAGGCGCCCAAGAGGGCCCCAAGCGGGGAATCCGAACCGCCATTTGGAGCCCGGTGCGTCGAAGACGCCCGGTGCGTCGTAGAGTGGTTGAAGATAGGTGGAAGTTAAGGGATAGAGTGGTTTAAGATAGGGGGACGTTGATTTTCAAATAAAAAGCAAAACATATGAAAAGTTATCTTCCACAACTTCAACCTAACTTCCACAACTTCCACAACTTCAACATAACTAGTTGTGCACATCACATCCAAGGACCTCCCACCACGGAGGCCCCCAAGACCCCCCCCAAGAGGACCCAGGAGAGACTTCTGAGAGGCCCCACGGGCCGCCACGAGGCCGCCGCCATGCTGGCCGAAGGCCACTGAACATCAAATGAAGGGGCCCAAGGACACACAATTAAATACACACAAATTCGCCAGCCCAACGGGCCAGAGGCGTGCTAAGATCTCTGGTAACTACTTAACCATATTTCTAGTTCGCGCGCGCGGGGCGGCCCCTGGGGGCCCCCGGACGAAAAGTACCCCGGCCGATCCCTGGCCGGGTCCCGGGCGATCCCCAAGGGGGAAGCTATTTTTCGCCACCCCTCACGAGGATCGTGGCCTCCGAGGGGGTGGCTGCAATCGACTACCCCCCCTCCCGCTCCAAGGGGCCCCCAAGAGCCCCCAAGAGGTCCCAGGGGAGCCCAAGACGCCGCCAAGGAGACCCAAGACGCTTCCAAGAAGCCCCCAAGAGGCCCCCAAGACGGCCCCAAGAGACCCCAAATAGCGCTCCAGGGCCGGCGGAATGAGCGAAGCGATCAAATAAAAATATTCCCCATATTTTCATGTGTGTCTGTGTGTTTCTCTTCCTGCTGAATCACATGCAGCGTGGGCTGGCGGGATGAGCGAAGCGATGCGCCGCCCCTCTGGGTACGGCTCGTGAGATCCCCGCCCCATCCCCTGACCTGCGCCATCCTTGTACCCATGCCCTTCCGCAGAGCCCTGGCAGCCCCTCCTAGGGTCCTCCCCGCGGCTTCTCGCCATCGCTCGAACGTCCATTCCCCCAGTTTTTTCGGTTTCGTGAGCGGTTTTTTTCGCCAAATGATCAAGGACGCTCCTCGATTGTCCTCGCCGAAGGAAAAATGCACACGTACGAGCGATGCCAAGGCCTGTCCATCCCGCTGGGCCGGGGGCCCCGGTTGCACACCGGGCATCCGCTGGCCGTCATGTCGCCCCCAACCGACGGAGGCCTTCGCACGGGAGACTTCGGGACGCCTTCGGGCGCTGTGTGGGACCTCTCGTGAGGCTCGCCTTGGCAGTCTTTGGAACCTCTTGGGGCCCTCTTGGGGCCATTTGGCCCACACTTGGGGCCCTCTTGGGGCCGTCTCGGACTTCTCCGAAGCCCTCTTCGAATCATGCTTCAGCCGACAACCTCGAGAAACTAGAGAGCTTCAAGCGCGGACAGGGTTCTCTG